TTGCCTGCCATGTGCCACCGCCCGCCGGGTGCCACCGTCGTCCCGTTGACGTGGTCCTCCACAACGTCCTCCTCTCGATGGGACGGAGTTGATGGATGGAGCGTTTGGCGGAGCAGGCGTTGGGTGGTTGGTGGCATCCAGAGGGTTGTGGTTGCCGTTTCCATGCCCAAATGGAGACCAGTGAGGAGTGGTGTCCCTCAGGGGGCCATACTGGGACCAGTACGGTTCCGTATCTTCATCATGTGCCACCGTCGTCCCATTGACGTGGTCCTCCACAGCGTCCTCCTCTCTGAGTTTGAGAGAGATGGAGTTGATGGGTGGAACGTTTGGGTGGTTGGTGGCATCCAGGGGGTTGTGGTCAACGGCTCCATGCCTGGATGGAGACCAGTGAGGACTGGTGTCCCTCAGGGGGCCATACTGGGACCAGTATGCTTCCATATCTTCATCAATGACCTGTGCCACCATCGTCCCCTTGACGTGGTCCTCCACAACGTCCTCCTCTCTCAATGGGATGGAGTTGATGGAAGGAATTGGGTGGAGCAGGAGTTGGGTGGTTGGTGGCATCCAGAGGGTTGTGGTCGATGTTTCCATGTCCGGATGGAGACCAGTGAGGACTGGTGTCCCTCAGGGGGCCATACTGGGACCAGTATGCTTCCATATCTTCATCAATGACCTGTGCCACCATCGTCCCATTGACGTGGTCCTCCACAACGTCCTCCTCTCTCAATGGGATGGAGTTGATGGAGTTGGGCAGTTGGTGGCATCCAGAGGGTTGTGGTCGATGTTTCCATGTCCGGATGGAGACCAGTGAGGACTGGTGTCCCTCAGGGGGCCATACTGGGACCAGTACGGTTCCATATCTTCATCATGTGCCACTGTCGTCCCCTTGACGTGGTCCTCCACAGCGTCCTCCTCTCAATGGGATGGAGTTGACGGAGCAGGAATTGGGTGGAGCAGGAGTTGGGTGGTTGGTGGCATCCAGAGGGTTGTGGTCGATGTTTCCATGCCCGGATGGAGACCAGTGAGGACTGGTGTCCCTCAGGGATCCATACTGGGACCAGTACGGTTCCATATCTCCACCAACCACAGAGATCGAGGGCCCCCTCAGCGAGTTTGGAGAGGACCCCAAGCCGAGTGGGGTGGTTGATCCCCGAGAGGGAAGGGACCCATCCAGGGGGACCGGGAGAGGTGGGCCCAGGTGAACCTCACGAGGTTCAACCAGGCCAAGTGCAAGGTCAAGGCCATCCCGAACACGGCCACGGGCTGGGGGCCGGCGAGTGGAGAAGGACTTGGTGGCTGAGGAGCCGGAGAGGAGCCCAGGGAGCCAAGCGTCTCCTGGGGACGAGGCGGCCGTGGACCCGGTGGAGCGGGTCCAGAGGAGGCCACGGAGGTGATGCGAGGGCCACCTCCCCTGGGAGGCCAGGCTGGAGAAGAGACGGCTCCGGGGAGACCTCGTGGCGGCCCTGCGTGGGGACGGAGGCTCTGATGGGCCGAGGGGGGTCGGTTTTAAGCTAAAAAAGGGCAGATTTAGGCTCGGTTTAAGGGAGATTTTTCACGCCGGGGGTGGGGACGCTGGAAGGCGTCGCCCAAAGAGGTTGGAGATGCCCCATCCCTGGGAACGACCAAGGTCAGGTTGCTCAAGTCCAAGCTGTCCCTGCCCATGACCTTCAATCCACGATTCCAGGCCGGGCTCGATCCCAGTTGCTCCCAGTTCATCCCCGTTCGTTATCCCGTAGGGCACAGCGAGTGCGGAAGCTGCACCAGGAATCGGATAACGCCACCTTCAGCGGGGGCGAGGACAACTGCGACAGTCGTTCCCACCTCAGCAACGCTTCGGCTCCCAGTCATCCCGAAGCCGGACCCAGTCGGAAACGTTCCCGAGCTTCCGATGATTCCGGGCCCGATCCCGATCCCGAAACTTCCCACGAAGGAGGAGGACGAGGGAGCCCCGAGCCGGGAGCGGAGCCGGGCAGCAGCGAGATCGAGCTGGTTTTCCGACCTCATCCTCTTTTGGTGGAGAAGGGGGAGTACTCGCAGACCCGGTGAGGGCAGGGGTGCGGGCAGGGGTGCGGGCAGGGGGCTCCAGCACCCCCGAACTCAGAGCAGGGGGTGGCGGGAAGCCTTCCTCCACCTGCTGCCAGCCTCAGGCCTTCCTCCTCCTCTCTGTCTTCTTTCCTTTCCCTTCCTCTTCCTCCTCCTTCCTTTCTCCTCCTTGTTTCCTTTCTCTTCCTTCTCCTCCTCCTCCCTTTTCCTTCCTCCTCCTCCTCTTCCTCTCTCTTCCTCCTCCTCGTCCTCCCTTTCTCCCTCCTCCTCCTCCCTCTCTTCCTCCTTTTTGTACTTTTTCTCCTCCTTTTTCTCCTCTTCCTCCTGTCTTCCTTTGCTTCTCCTTTCCTTTCTCTTCCTCTTTCTCTCCTCCTTCTCTTCCTCTCCTTTCTCTTCCTTCCTCCTCCTCTCGCCTTCCTCTCTTCCTTCCCCTCTCCTCTCCTTCCTCTTCTTCTCTCCCTTCCTCCTCCTCCCCCTCTTTTGTCCTTCCTCTCTCCTCTTCCTCCTCCTCTCCTCCTTCTCCTCCTTTCTTGTTCTTCCTCCTCCTCCTCTTTTCTCCTCCCGTCCTTTCTCACCCTTCCTCTCCCTCCTCCTCCTCTCCTTGTCCTTCCTCTCTCTTCCTTCCTCCTCCTCTCCTCTCTTCCTTCTCTCATTCCTTGTCCTTTCTCTCCCTCCTCTCCTCTTCCTCTCCTCCTTCATCCTCCTCTCCCCTTCCTCTCTTCCTTCTCCTCGTCTTTCCTCTCTCTCCTCCTTTCTCTTCCTTCCTCCTCCTCTTCCTCTTCCTTCCCCCTCCTCTCTCCTCTTCCTTCTCTCTTCTCTCATCTATCCTTTCTCTTCCTTCCTCTTCCTCTCCCCTCTCTCTCTTCTTCCTCCCTTCTCTCTTCCTCCTTCTCTTTCTCGTCCTTCTCCTTCTCTTCCTTCTCCTCCTTGTCCTCCTCCTCCTCCTCGTCTTTCTCCTCTCTTCTCTCGTCTTTCCTCTCTCTCCTTTCTCTTCCTTCCTCCTCCTCTTCATCTCTCTTCCTTCCCCCTCTTCTCCTCTCTCCTTCCTCCTCCTCTCCCCTCTCTTTCCTCCCTCTTCCTCCTCGTCCTTCTCCTCTATGTTCTCGTCCTTCTCATCCCTGTCCTCGTCCCCGTCGTCCTCGTCCCTGTCGTCCCCGTCGTCCCCGTCCCCGTCATCCTCCTCGTCCTCCCCGTCCCCGTCCTCCTCGTCCCCGTCCTCCTCGTCCCCGTCCTCCTCGTCCCCGTCCTCCTCGTCCCCGTCCTCCTCGTCCCCGTCCTCCTCGTCCCCGTCCTCCTCGTCCCCGTCCTCCTCGTCCTCCTCATCCTCCTCCTTCTCCTCGTCCTCCTCGTCCTCCTCGTCCTCCTCCTTCTCCTCGTCCTCCTCCTTCTCCTCGTCCTCCTCCTTCTCCTCGTCCTCCTCCTTCTCCTCGTCCTCCTCCTTCTCCTCGTCCTCCTCCTTCTCCTCGTCCTCCTCCTTCTCCTCGTCCTCCTCCTTCTCCTCGTCCTCCTCCTTCTCCTCGTCCTCCTCCTTCTCCTCGTCCTCCTCCTTCTCCTCGTCCTCCTCCTTCTCCTCGTCCTCCTCCTTCTCCTCGTCCTCCTCCTTCTCCTCGTCCTCCTCCTTCTCCTCGTCCTCCTCCTTCTCCTCGTCCTCCTCCTTCTCCTCGTCCTCCTCCTTCTCCTCGTCCTCCTCCTTCTCCTCGTCCTCCTCCTTCTCCTCGTCCTCCTCCTTCTCCTCGTCCTCCTCCTTCTCCTCGTCCTCCTCCTTCTCCTCGTCCTCCTCCTTCTCCTCGTCCTCCTCCTTCTCCTCGTCCTCCTCCTTCTCCTCGTCCTCCTCCTTCTCCTCGTCCTCCTCCTTCTCCTCGTCCTCCTCCTTCTCCTCGTCCTCCTCCTTCTCCTCGTCCTCCTCCTTCTCCTCGTCCTCCTCCTTCTCCTCGTCCTCCTCCTTCTCCTCGTCCTCCTCCTTCTCCTCGTCCTCCTCCTTCTCCTCGTCCTCCTCCTTCTCCTCGTCCTCCTCCTTCTCCTCGTCCTCCTCCTTCTCCTCGTCCTCCTCCTTCTCCTCGTCCTCCTCCTTCTCCTCGTCCTCCTCCTTCTCCTCGTCCTCCTCCTTCTCCTCGTCCTCCTCCTTCTCCTCGTCCTCCTCCTTCTCCTCGTCCTCCTCCTTCTCCTCGTCCTCCTCCTTCTCCTCGTCCTCCTCCTTCTCCTCGTCCTCCTCCTTCTCCTCGTCCTCCTCCTTCTCCTCGTCCTCCTCCTTCTCCTCGTCCTCCTCCTTCTCCTCGTCCTCCTCCTTCTCCTCGTCCTCCTCCTTCTCCTCGTCCTCCTCCTTCTCCTCGTCCTCCTCCTTCTCCTCGTCCTCCTCCTTCTCCTCGTCCTCCTCCTTCTCCTCGTCCTCCTCCTTCTCCTCGTCCTCCTCCTTCTCCTCGTCCTCCTCCTTCTCCTCGTCCTCCTCCTTCTCCTCGTCCTCCTCCTTCTCCTCGTCCTCCTCCTTCTCCTCGTCCTCCTCCTTCTCCTCGTCCTCCTCCTTCTCCTCGTCCTCCTCCTTCTCCTCGTCCTCCTCCTTCTCCTCGTCCTCCTCCTTCTCCTCGTCCTCCTCCTTCTCCTCGTCCTCCTCCTTCTCCTCGTCCTCCTCCTTCTCCTCGTCCTCCTCCTTCTCCTCGTCCTCCTCCTTCTCCTCGTCCTCCTCCTTCTCCTCGTCCTCCTCCTTCTCCTCGTCCTCCTCCTTCTCCTCGTCCTCCTCCTTCTCCTCGTCCTCCTCCTTCTCCTCGTCCTCCTCCTTCTCCTCGTCCTCCTCCTTCTCCTCGTCCTCCTCCTTCTCCTCGTCCTCCTCCTTCTCCTCGTCCTCCTCCTTCTCCTCGTCCTCCTCCTTCTCCTCGTCCTCCTCCTTCTCCTCGTCCTCCTCCTTCTCCTCGTCCTCCTCCTTCTCCTCGTCCTCCTCCTTCTCCTCGTCCTCCTCCTTCTCCTCGTCCTCCTCCTTCTCCTCGTCCTCCTCCTTCTCCTCGTCCTCCTCCTTCTCCTCGTCCTCCTCCTTCTCCTCGTCCTCCTCCTTCTCCTCGTCCTCCTCCTTCTCCTCGTCCTCCTCCTTCTCCTCGTCCTCCTCCTTCTCCTCGTCCTCCTCCTTCTCCTCGTCCTCCTCCTTCTCCTCGTCCTCCTCCTTCTCCTCGTCCTCCTCCTTCTCCTCGTCCTCCTCCTTCTCCTCGTCCTCCTCCTTCTCCTCGTCCTCCTCCTTCTCCTCGTCCTCCTCCTTCTCCTCGTCCTCCTCCTTCTCCTCGTCCTCCTCCTTCTCCTCGTCCTCCTCCTTCTCCTCGTCCTCCTCCTTCTCCTCGTCCTCCTCCTTCTCCTCGTCCTCCTCCTTCTCCTCGTCCTCCTCCTTCTCCTCGTCCTCCTCCTTCTCCTCGTCCTCCTCCTTCTCCTCGTCCTCCTCCTTCTCCTCGTCCTCCTCCTTCTCCTCGTCCTCCTCCTTCTCCTCGTCCTCCTCCTTCTCCTCGTCCTCCTCCTTCTCCTCGTCCTCCTCCTTCTCCTCGTCCTCCTCCTTCTCCTCGTCCTCCTCCTTCTCCTCGTCCTCCTCCTTCTCCTCGTCCTCCTCCTTCTCCTCGTCCTCCTCCTTCTCCTCGTCCTCCTCCTTCTCCTCGTCCTCCTCCTTCTCCTCGTCCTCCTCCTTCTCCTCGTCCTCCTCCTTCTCCTCGTCCTCCTCCTTCTCCTCGTCCTCCTCCTTCTCCTCGTCCTCCTCCTTCTCCTCGTCCTCCTCCTTCTCCTCGTCCTCCTCCTTCTCCTCGTCCTCCTCCTTCTCCTCGTCCTCCTCCTTCTCCTCGTCCTCCTCCTTCTCCTCGTCCTCCTCCTTCTCCTCGTCCTCCTCCTTCTCCTCGTCCTCCTCCTTCTCCTCGTCCTCCTCCTTCTCCTCGTCCTCCTCCTTCTCCTCGTCCTCCTCCTTCTCCTCGTCCTCCTCCTTCTCCTCGTCCTCCTCCTTCTCCTCGTCCTCCTCCTTCTCCTCGTCCTCCTCCTTCTCCTCGTCCTCCTCCTTCTCCTCGTCCTCCTCCTTCTCCTCGTCCTCCTCCTTCTCCTCGTCCTCCTCCTTCTCCTCGTCCTCCTCCTTCTCCTCGTCCTCCTCCTTCTCCTCGTCCTCCTCCTTCTCCTCGTCCTCCTCCTTCTCCTCGTCCTCCTCCTTCTCCTCGTCCTCCTCCTTCTCCTCGTCCTCCTCCTTCTCCTCGTCCTCCTCCTTCTCCTCGTCCTCCTCCTTCTCCTCGTCCTCCTCCTTCTCCTCGTCCTCCTCCTTCTCCTCGTCCTCCTCCTTCTCCTCGTCCTCCTCCTTCTCCTCGTCCTCCTCCTTCTCCTCGTCCTCCTCCTTCTCCTCGTCCTCCTCCTTCTCCTCGTCCTCCTCCTTCTCCTCGTCCTCCTCCTTCTCCTCGTCCTCCTCCTTCTCCTCGTCCTCCTCCTTCTCCTCGTCCTCCTCCTTCTCCTCGTCCTCCTCCTTCTCCTCGTCCTCCTCCTTCTCCTCGTCCTCCTCCTTCTCCTCGTCCTCCTCCTTCTCCTCGTCCTCCTCCTTCTCCTCGTCCTCCTCCTTCTCCTCGTCCTCCTCCTTCTCCTCGTCCTCCTCCTTCTCCTCGTCCTCCTCCTTCTCCTCGTCCTCCTCCTTCTCCTCGTCCTCCTCCTTCTCCTCGTCCTCCTCCTTCTCCTCGTCCTCCTCCTTCTCCTCGTCCTCCTCCTTCTCCTCGTCCTCCTCCTTCTCCTCGTCCTCCTCCTTCTCCTCGTCCTCCTCCTTCTCCTCGTCCTCCTCCTTCTCCTCGTCCTCCTCCTTCTCCTCGTCCTCCTCCTTCTCCTCGTCCTCCTCCTTCTCCTCGTCCTCCTCCTTCTCCTCGTCCTCCTCCTTCTCCTCGTCCTCCTCCTTCTCCTCGTCCTCCTCCTTCTCCTCGTCCTCCTCCTTCTCCTCGTCCTCCTCCTTCTCCTCGTCCTCCTCCTTCTCCTCGTCCTCCTCCTTCTCCTCGTCCTCCTCCTTCTCCTCGTCCTCCTCCTTCTCCTCGTCCTCCTCCTTCTCCTCGTCCTCCTCCTTCTCCTCGTCCTCCTCCTTCTCCTCGTCCTCCTCCTTCTCCTCGTCCTCCTCCTTCTCCTCGTCCTCCTCCTTCTCCTCGTCCTCCTCCTTCTCCTCGTCCTCCTCCTTCTCCTCGTCCTCCTCCTTCTCCTCGTCCTCCTCCTTCTCCTCGTCCTCCTCCTTCTCCTCGTCCTCCTCCTTCTCCTCGTCCTCCTCCTTCTCCTCGTCCTCCTCCTTCTCCTCGTCCTCCTCCTTCTCCTCGTCCTCCTCCTTCTCCTCGTCCTCCTCCTTCTCCTCGTCCTCCTCCTTCTCCTCGTCCTCCTCCTTCTCCTCGTCCTCCTCCTTCTCCTCGTCCTCCTCCTTCTCCTCGTCCTCCTCCTTCTCCTCGTCCTCCTCCTTCTCCTCGTCCTCCTCCTTCTCCTCGTCCTCCTCCTTCTCCTCGTCCTCCTCCTTCTCCTCGTCCTCCTCCTTCTCCTCGTCCTCCTCCTTCTCCTCGTCCTCCTCCTTCTCCTCGCCCTGGGTGCTGGGGTGGGGGTGGGGGGGTCCCCTGGGTGCTGGGGGAGGGTCCTGTCACCTTGATCTTGAGCTTCTCGAGGACGTGTTGGACGTCGGCGCAGGCCACCGTCTCCCTGAACGCTTGTTCCTTCACCGAATTGATTTTCCCGTTGAGTTCTTGCAACTGTTCCAAAAATTCCGGTTCCGTCACCGGCGCCTCCAAAACGGTGCTAAAAAGGGGACAGCGGGAGGTGACAACTGGGGACGTAGAGGTGACCGAACCGCCCCCCCCCCTTGTGTTCCGTAGCCCCACCTGATCATGCCGGCGGGGACCACCAGCTCGTCCAGGAGCTGGCCCAGCTGCCGGCGCACGGCTCGGCGATTCTTCAGCCTCAAGTTCATGGCCACCGACTGCTCCTGAAGCGTCCGGATTTCGGAGCTGATGCTGCTCAGGTCGCACTGGAAAGCGCTCAGCATCTGCTCCATGCGCTGGGAGGGGACAACGGGGTCAGGGGACGCCTTGGGGACACCTTGGGGACACCCTGGGGACACCTCGGGGACAGGGGGACGTCCCGTCCCACCCCTCACCTCCAAGATGGCGTCGCAGGCGGTGATCTGGTTGTGCAGCGAGGCGATGTTCTCGCTCTCCTTGATGTCTGCGAGGGCGGGTGAAGGATTTGGGGACGTTTTGGGGACGTTGGGGACATCGGGGACATGGGGTCCCCCCCCTCCGGTGACGGCCACCCCCCTCCCAAACGGAAGGATACAGTCGCGGATGGAAGCGCGCTCCACCTCCTGCAGCTCCAGCTCCACTTGCTTGGAGTACTGGCGCAGGTCCACGCCCTGCGGGGACGGCAGTGTCACCGGGGAGGGGACACCGGGAGGGGGGGACGACGCCGTGGG